AGTCGGAGACAACGCATATGGAACGTGTTCAGCTTCCTCTCTTGCTGTGCACAAAGGGTCCAGGACTCACCACAGTACAGGAGTGTACTCACTAGATTGGATTTTTAATTTTTTAAATTTAAATCCAGTTTTTAAATAAAATGCTTACTGACTAGTGATCTAAATCATGATTTATATCAGATCCACCCTGATTTCAACCCTAGTTCTCCTAAGTTTTAGTCTGCCATCTTCCATACCGCACTGGGTCTTCAGCGTACTTACCGGCCCATTATGAAGTGAGGCACCACTGATACAAATGCCCCGACGGACATGATGAAGCACCCGATGCCAATTACCTTTGGACGATGAATTTTTGGTCCAAGATAACTCACCAGTATCATCACCAGTAAGTTCCCTGCATTGGGAGATGAACAATATGGGAGAATCACTTTTGAAATGGTTCCTCTTCCATTCAAAAATAATTGTTCACTCATTCCTGTATTGCAGAGACAGGAATCTAGATTTCATGCTCATGTGCAAGGATGAAAAGATTCCTTTCCCCCTTCCCAACCTTCGTCTACAAGCCAACAAGACATCTGCTAATTGTGAGGAGTTTTTCACATTTAAGAGAACAACTTTTGTGCAAATTGTGTTGTTAAATTATTATTGCTGCCCTCATCATATGAATCTTTAGGCATTAGAAGCATCAGATAGATTGTTTTTGATTAATCAGTCTAACCGTCCATGTTTTCTCTATGTGTGTGCAAGCATGCTTCTGTACACATGCATGCCACGTTTCATTTGAGGGAAATGACATTTGTTCTCCACAGGAATATTTTGTACAAATTACTGACACTTAAATGTGGAAAATGGGACGTGGTGGCCCTACAGGTTAAACCGCAGAAGCCTCTGTGCTGCAAGGTCAGAAGACCAGCCATCTTTAGATCAAATCCACACAACGGAGTGAGCTCCCGTCACTTGTCCCAGCTCCTGCCAACCTAGCAATTCGAAAGCATGTAAAAATGCAAGTAGATAAATAGGTACCATCTCGGTGGGAAGGTAACAGCATTCTGTGTCTAGTCGTGCTGGCCACGTGACCACGGAAACTGTCTACGGACAAACGCTGGCTCTACAGCTTGGAAATGGGAATGAGCACCACCCTCTAGAGGTGGACACAACTGGACATCTGTCAAGGGAACCTTTAACTTTAACTAAATGTGAAAAATGTCCTTGTGCTGAAGGTGAGAGGCATCACAAGGCTTAACAAATTTCCAACATATGTTGGTAAAGTTAACCCTGTTCAGGCATTAGGCCTGAGAGAATCTAGGGCTCATATAGTGGGGGTGATAAGGGGATGAAACTAAGCCACACTCCCATGTTTCCACCCAGAATTCAGACAAAGTTTTGTATAAGCATTTACAATATTTCTGTAGTTAATATCCCTGATAAGGAAAGATCACCAGTCTTGGAAATGTGGTGAGCTTGTTCAACTTAATTCATATAGTCTACATAGATGTTCATGCTGAACATGGAAATGTGTGCCTGGGTTGCACATCAGCAAGGACAGGAGGGTTGGAACTACCTCTGTCACCATACAGGTAATTCCAACCCACTACTCTTTCAGTCCTACACAGGTTCAGACAATGGGGACTGGTGAATCCAATTTCAGATGTGCTGTTAATCCACTCCAGGTTTTCGTCCACATCCAAAATAGGTGCATCACCTTGGATAGCTTATGTAAAGGACAGAGTAAAATTTGGGGCACCTTCAATACTGGACTTCCCAGTCACCACTGTTTTCGGGCTTGACGCAGAATAGGGTCTTTTCTCATCAAGAATCTGGGAAGATAGCTTGACACCTCAATTAAAAAGGGAAAGTGCATACCCAACTCAAAGCTTCCATCAATCAGACCGGTCACAGATGAAGAGATTTCAAACCTCCTCTCAATTTGAGTTATCATACTCTTCATGTAACTTCCTGAAAAGCCTTTGGCAAAGTAGGAAAATGCCAATGCGATGAGAAAGATCTATCATGGAAACAAAAGAGAAATTAATATGTGAAGTGAAAATTTTAAAATTTTAAAAGGGTCATTACAGAGTTTTAAGGATACTTCGGATTTATAGAGTATTTTTGTAAATGGAAAAGAACGAATTCTAGCCAAGATTCATTAAATTTTTTGAGAGTATTGGGGTGTGTTGATGAGAAAGGAAGGAAGGAAGAGTAAAGGGGGGGAAGGGTCATTAACAATATCCCAATGGTGATGAGGAGCACTTGTTGTATTATGGTGTGGACTTTTTTGTACATTATTGTATTAAATGCACATTTTTGTAAGTATAAAATTAAGTTTTCAATAAAAATTTTAAAAAAGAAAGGGGAAGGGCAAGAGTAAGTTGCAAAGGAGTTTTTCTCAGCAGGGAAGCTCATATCTGCACATCCTATAACGCTCCTGTGGAAGAGGGGGTTCCATCCATTTGATGCATCATCTGCACATCCTATTTGCTCCTGTGGAAGAGGGGGTTCCATCCATTGATTTGGGCTCATTTTATGGATCTACATGATGTTACAGGAAACGCTAATCAACCCTTGCACTTCCAAGTTGTTAGCCGCCACCTGAGTTTTTTGGGGAGAGGTGGAGTACCGTATTCTTCTGTATATAAGACTATATTGTTGTCTAAAATCTTTAGACTGAAAATTGAGGGAGGTGGAGTACCGTATTCTTCTGTGTATAAGACTATATTTTTGTCTAAAATCTTTAGACTAAAAATTGAGGCTCGTCTTATACACGGAAGTAAGCTGAGGAGAGAACAAAAACAAGTGGAGGGGAAAGCAGGGATCAAAACGATCCTGCAGCGCTTTGATCCCTTTCCCCCTACACTTGCTAAACCCCACTTAGATTTCCTAATTTTGGATTAGAAAAGTGGGGGGCGTCTTATACATGAGGGCATCTTATACACGGAAAAAATACGGTAGTTAGGAGAGCCTGATTCATTCTGGGAAGTGTCAGTCTTTTAGAACATTGAATCGCCATCTGGCAGTGGGGAAAAATATGGTAGTCAGGAGAGCCTGATTCATTCTGGGAAGTATCAGCCTTTAGAACATTGAATCGCCATCTGGCAGTGAAGCCACAGAAATGCCGGGAAAGGCAGCATCCAGGGAGGGAAAGAGATAAGAGACGGAGACCGGGTGGAGAACAGAGAAGACATGAGAGAGAAGGAGGGGGTGGTGGAAGATAATGTGGAAACTGATACGAGAAGAATTTGGATTACACAGAATGGGAAGTGAGTAACAGTTATGGAAATACGGCGTGAATGATTCCAGATTTGTGGAAGAAAGGGACCGCGGCTGCAGTCCACATTAACTCAAACTACACACCTCGAATGAATGAGCCTATAGCCATCATCACACCTTAATGTGGCGAACGATGGCGATGAAGATGAAGTGTGTTTTCAAGAAATTGTATAGTACCATCAGTTTGTCGTGACTTGTAGAGATGCGTGGATATAAAAATGGATGGGTCCCAGTTTGGAACAAGCTTATATGCTAAAAGGGGAAAGGGAGGGAAAGGGAAAGTTGTAGAGAGAACCTCGTTTTGATTTCCACTACAAATCATCACAATATTTTAGCCATTTGCTTCAGAGAAAGTTTCAGAGATATTTCTACCTTAAGCTTTGAAAAACAGAGTGAGATTCTCTTCATGGTGTGTGGCCCAAAGCTTTTATCCAAGAATGAAGGATTGTCTTTAGGTTGCTGAGCGTCTGTTTTCCCATCCATGCTGTAGGCTTGTGAACATAGACCTGTATAGAAGAAGGAAGGGGTTTACATTATGTGCAAAGGCATTTTGGTGTTCTTCCCTATACACACAACAAGCACCTGTCCATAGCATTCCAGCCAACTTTGCGTTTTCTTGGTATGTTGGACTATATCCATCTCCACTTGTGTGGGAGGGGTTAGTTCCAGAGTTCTAGGAAAAAAGTGCCGAGGAAGATCTGTGTTGTAATGTGTTTATTGCAGTATTTTCAACTTGAGAGAACCAGTGAATATTTTCATGTACTAAGGTCATGAGTTAGTAATGAGAAACAGGGTGTTACTTTCACATGTGTACTGATCCAAAGTAATGAATAACCAATTAAGTTCTCTTTCAAAATCCATGTTCCAAGCTCTTTAGCAAGGGTAAAAGCTTGCAGCTGTCAACAACAGTGAATTTGATATAGTTACATGCAAAAAATTATTTAGTTAGCCAGTACTGGTGTGAATCCTGCTGATATTTGCCTAAGATTTGCATAACTTGTCACAGCTATTTGCAGCGGATCAACAAGGTGCTGGGGTGATCTCAGCTATACAATTGTGTACATAAGCAGGCATGTGACTGAGACATAGTACTCTGGCACCTTGGCAATTAGCTGCAATTAGCTGCAACAAGTTTCACACACCTTATGTGAACACCGGTAGGAATCTGGCCATTGTGAAGCAATTAAAATAACGTTTAAGAAAATGAAACATCAGCATGTTTATCCTTGAGAAAAGAAGACAGAGGGGTGATATGATAAAACTTTTCAAGTACTTGAAAGGCTGTCATACAGAGGAGGGGCAGGATCTGTTCTCAATCATTCCAGAGTGTAGGACATGCAGCAATGGGCTCAAGTTACAGGAAGCCAGATTTCAACTTAATTTCAGGAAAAGCTTGCTAACAGAGCAGTAGGACAGTGGAACTAATTACCTCAATAGGTACTGAGTGCTCCAACAGTGGGGGCATTCAAGAGAAAGTTAAACAACCACCTGGCAGATATTTGTACAGTGGTGCCTCGCATAGCGATCGCTCTGTATAGCGATGAACTTTTTGCCATCACAAGAGTGATCGCTTTGCGATCGTCCCTATGGGGAAAATTCACTTTGCGATGATCGCGGGGAAGCGATCATTGCAAAGCCCCCATTTTCGCACAGCTGATCGGTGGTTTCAAAATGGCTGCCGAAAAACAAAATGGCCACCCGCTGTTTTGCCTTGCTTTAGAGGCACTGAAAATGGCTGTCCCTATGGAGGATCTTCGCTTTAAGGTTAGTTTTAAGCCCATAGGAATGCATTGAAGGGGTTTCTATGCGTTTCTATGGGCTTTTTAAAATCGCTTAGTGATGAAATCGCTTAGCAGCGATTTTTGCTGCACGGATTAACATCGCTAAGCGAGGCACCACTGTATTTCCGCATGAATGATGTTCTTTGATTTTATCCTGGAAGTTGTAGGACTGGCCTCCTGCAGAAACAATTGTGGCCTTTCATATGTTGTGTTAGAAGCAATTCTTCTTGCCCTGGCAAGAATTGCTGATGAGAATTGTCCTCTCACAACACAAGCTCTCCTCTCCTGGTTTAAAATTACATGTTTTTTTAAAGAAAAGGGGTGGTGAGAATAAAGCAAAGTCACAATAACAAAATAATAGGTGAATTCTGACAGGCAAGTTTAAAGATAAGTTAACATTCCTGACTTCATTCAGTACTGGAAGAGATTTTAATTGCTCAGTTGAATTCCAAGCATACTATTAATTCCTACCTACTAATTCTTATTTTGATTCAGTTTTGTACCCTAAATTTTAAGTTTGTATCTTGAAATACAACAAAAGCTTTTGAATAAACTCCATAGCTCTTATTTTAGCAATATAACTGGGTCTGATTGCTGATTTTTTTTCTGGTTTAATTTCAATTATGCCTTTCCTTGCAAGAAACCGAAGGATTCTTCCTCCACAATTTTAGACCAACCTTGCCAGGTAAGCAGGGCCACTCCCTGAATTACAAATCCTGTAACACCAAAGGAATGTCAACAACTCAAAAACTATTATTACATCCTTAATGCTGGTTCTGCACTCTAACTGCTGCACCGTGATGCCTCTTAGCATCTTCACAACAGCTCAGTGATTTAAGCCAGACTGGGGCCCAAAGTTGCCCATTGACTTCCATGGCTCAGCAGGAACTGGAACCTGGAGCAATAATGTGTTCAGTCCAGTACTCCATCTGCTACATCAGTGGTCCCCAACCTCGGGCCTGGAGATGTTCTTGGACTACAGCTCCCAGAAGCCTTCACCACCACCTCTGCTGGCCAGGATTTCTGGGAGTTGAAGTCTAAGAACATCTGGAGGCCCAAGGTTGGGGACCACTGTACTACATCACATTGTCTCTCAATTAGCCTCAAAACAGTATCTTCAGCTTGCAGGGCCAGTAAACTTTCTTTGTCTTCTGCCCTTAAGTTCTGTAAACAATTACAATGAATGGTGGCTGAATTAATCGCAGGCTACAGGTAGCAAGCAGGAACAATACGGTAATGAGCATCTCTAATCATCAATGGGGCTTCTGAGGTGGAACTGATCAATCTATTTGTCTGTCTGTCTGTCTGTCTGTCTGTCTGTCTGTCTATCTATCTATCTATCTATCTATCATCATCATCATCATCATCATCATCATCATCATCAGTATTATTAGTATTATTATTAGCAGCAAATAATTATATTATATTATATATTGAATATATTAAACATATTCTTACTCGTCACAATTATACTAAATGTGACTTTTGTTCAAATGTTTCATTCACTTACAACTATGTAAGTGCTTTGTAAAATCATTCTTTGTAAATTTTATTGTTTATATCTTGTATATCCACTGGTTTGTGCACTTGTATATTATTTTTTTTTTAATAAACGTTCCTCCTTAAAATATCTTACAGCATTGAGCTCTCAAAATAAAAGGCACACCAACGTCCAAGCCATGTTGCATTATGTGCCATCAAGTGAGAAGCAACTTATAGAAACCCTAATTTGCCTTTGGAGGCAAATGACATATTTAAGGAGTTGTTTTACCACTTCCACATACCTTTCCCCTGTGAGTACCCATTGCCAAACACGAATTCAAACCCAGGTTTCCTGAGTCATAGTCTACCTCTGTATCCATTACAATACAGTGGGGGGGGGGACAACCATGTCCATACTCTACTTCCACCCTCATGTTCCTGGCCTTTTATTTCAACTCAAATGCATGGACTGATTTCATGATGACCTTTCTTGATTTGGGCTTTCCCCACCACCACCCATTCTGCCAATGTTGCCCAATTTGGCCTTTAATCCCTTCTGTACATTCTGGCTGCATCTGAAAAGTCCTGACTTCACAACATAGGATTCTGAACTGCTAGTCTCCTTAGGATCAACAAACAATTAACAAGTCTGACCTCAAACCCGATAAGCATGCAAGGAGTTTTAATCTTTCCAATAAAGAATGTTCCACTTCTCCTCAGGGTTTCCAAAGAATTTCACTGGAAATCTAGAGTTTTTCAAAACATGTGTTAAATGGGTCTTTATCTTTATTAACACACACCCATACGCGCACACACATTTGAGTCAGATCAGAGAAATTTATTTTGTCTTCTGCTGCTCCACAGCTCATGGCTAGAACTGGTGGGTGGCAATGTCAAGAAAGCAAATTTCAGGTGAATGTGTGAAAAAAGATCCTAATGGCAGCATTAGTTGACCATGGCTCTCCTTCAACAGAGAGATTTAAAAGCAGAGACAGGATACATATCTGTCACATGGTGTCTGGGGGATTCTGTGAGGTCTGATCCAACATTTCTAAAGTGTAATTACAGTATCTCTGCATTGACCCAGGGTGGTAGGGGAGACTTCCAAGATCCATTCTGAAAGATTCTACTTCTCCATGTTAAATGGTGTGAGGCAATTTTTCACTACATTCACCAGAGGAAATGAAATGGAGCACATTTTCCTCCTGAATCAAGTTGACAAGGCTCAGAGTTTCACAGAACGCTTCCTCATTGATTCATTACATTTATTTCAGACCTCACCTTTCACCCAGTGTAAAACCTAAGGCTGCTTACCCCATGAATTTTAAGCCATAGATACATAATATGTCACAATATGAAAAAGCAATGAAATCAGTTATTAGGATTTAAAATAAGCACAGAATCATAACAATTGTATACACAGCACCAAAGATAAAGTTCAACGCTCACCATTAAAGGGCCCCTTCTCAACAGCTGGTCAGTCTGAATAAAAAACAGTATTTGTCTGCAAGGAAAGAGCAATTGGGAGGGGCAACATTTATCTCTAGAAGCAGGAGATCCATTTAACTCCTGGACTTTTCTTTTACAAGGTGTGGCCAGGAGCAAAAGCCTAGATGGGTTTAAGAAGTGATTAGATAAATCTATGGAGAACAGACCTCTCCCTGTCTATTAACCATGACAGCTCAATTGAACCTCCAAAGTCAGGGGCAGTATGCCTCTTAATGCTAGCTACTGGGAACAAATAATCAGAATTTGGAAATGTTACTTTTTTTCAGAATAGCAACTCCCAAGATCCAAAGATAGCATGGCCAGATGTGAGATGTTCTATGAGTTACAATCCAAAACAGGGAATTTTTTCCAAAAAATACAGTATGTGATTTTCATGTTTGTTATTTACAAATCACATTAGCAAATAGAATATTTCTGAAAGCCAACTGGACCCAGAAACTAGCTCCAAGAGAAAAGGTACAGACAGTCAACTTCCCGGGCCATTCTGGGAGATGAAGTTTAAAAAAAAAAAGCAACTTATCCAGGCTCTAAATGGGGGCAATCTGAAAGCAAGAGCCCTAAGCAGTTCAAATCCAAGTACAAAGAGTATCTGTCAATGCAGACATAAACGAAGGGACTGATAAGAGTAGAGCCAATCTTAGGGGTTGGTTCCAGCAGCTTTCTTATGCCTCATGAGTCTTTCTTTTTCCCACGTGGGCATTCGGCTGAATAGCCACCAGCCTTGCGTATGCTTATAACCAATCGTGGTCTCAGGCCTAAATTGCATCCAAAAATTTGGGAGCTGAGCAATCCACCTCTCATTAAGCGGACTCCAACAGCCTCTCCACTAAGGATCCAGGATCTTCATGCATGATCTACTTAAGTACTGTGCCCATATGACCCAGAAAACACTGGATCCTCCTCAGAAGAGGGTCCTTCAAGTGGAGCTGTGACACTGAGATGATGCTGAGGTGGCTTAACCTTTCACCTCCCCCGGAAGAGGCTCCTTGAAATCCTTTTATCTCCAATTATCTAAATGAAGGAACAGCCAAATGAGTACATATGAAATCTCATTAAGTCCAAATTTATTACACTTGTCATTTACTAGAAGTGGAAGTGTCACCTTTTTGGCCAATAACTCATAGAATGCCCCAACAAGGACAGTAGTACTTGCTGGGGGATTCTGGGAACTGTAGTCCGCAAAGTCTTCCTTCTTCCAGGGAGTCTCATCCTTTAGTGTCTCTTGGAAGTCAAGTCAATATGGAAGAGGTTCTGTAGGACATGCCGGATTTGTGGGAGGCGATTTGTCTTTGTGTTTCTCCTCTAGCTATTTGAGGGTCCACAGTCCTTCCCTCTCAGGTCTCTACCTCTTCCATTCTGATCATGGTGGGTGGCTGTCATTCTATCCATGTCCTCCTCAGCTGCTACCAGCCAGCTGGATGTTGGTGGCCTAGTGTGCACAAGAGATTCTCTGCTTTTTCCTCCACACCTTCCCAGCCTCTTCCATCTGCTCTGGCCCTGCTCCAAGCTCCTCCATACATTAGGTGAACACAATGCTAATTTTGCAGTTAGACGGCAATCAAACGCTTTCCCTCCTACGACACAGTCTTCCGAAGCTGCTCTATTTGTCCATGCAAACTGCCAATGACAAACACAATGCTAGTTTTGCAGTTAGATGGCAGCTCCTAAGACACAGTCTTCCGAAGCGGCTCTATTTGTCCATGCAAACTGCCAATGAAGCCCATATTTACCTCCTTATGACAGATCACCATAGAAAACAAGCTAATGTCTCTTACTATAATTACCTTCTAGGGCGAATGAATGAACCTTTTAAGAATGACCTGATTCTAATGATGGGCTCACTGTAAGGTCTGTTCTGACTCTTTATCTCAGGAAGAGACCGAGTCAGTTTACTGCATGAAGGATGAAAATGGCTGCCCTCTTGAGCCAATTTCGTTTGTGGAAGACAGACTGACAATTTGACTTTATTCCATAAACATAAAGGGACTTCATCTTGCATTAGATTAGGCTATAGGATGCAGGATACTTTGGGTGTCACACAACACTCTTTCTTATCTTGACACCACTCAACATCTTCCCCAGGTATCTGATGACTGACGTAGGGTAGTAAATGTTGACTAGAGATTAGAAATGGAATCCACAGCTAACATGGCCACTGACATGGACTTTTTCATTCATTCATTCATTCATTCATTCATTCATTCATTCATTCATTCATTCATTCATTCAAACATAGCATTTTAAATTGCTCCACTTAGTGAAAAATCCACTACTCTGGGTGGTCTTAAAGTACAACGTAAGCCCTTTCCAACCCACCCACATTCTCAACAACAAAAATTAATGAAAAGAAATAAACAACTATGCAAACTGATAAAGTTCCAGGCAAATAAATAAACAAAGAAAAAATAATAATTAAATGGTGGCAACAATCCTCAGCAGTAAAGATGAAACATGGATCACATGGCTACCAGAATGGAGGATGTTCTTGAAGGCTTCTTTTAAAAGTTTATTTTTGAGTAATTGCGTAGTAAAGGTCTGGAGGGAGGCGTCCTGCTAGATCTCCAAAGGAAGATTGTTCCAGAGTATATGGGCCGCCACTGAGAAGGCCTGACTCTTAGTAGACGTTTTCCATGCCTCTCTTGGCATGGGCACCTGCAGCAATGAGGTGGTAGTAAACTATTACCAGAAAGACCTTTCTCTGGTTGTCTCCTGCCTCACTCCAGATGATAGGAGAACCTATGAAGATGGTGTGTCTCTCCACTGATGTGAGGAGCAGGTTGATAAGAGGCAGGAGACCAGATGGGTTTTGAGATTAGGTAGATGACAACTTAATTTATGCTGAGAACTTCAGAGATCTCTAATCTGTTTCTGGTTTTATGCCCTAAATCATGGCTTGCCCATAGTTAAAATAGCCCCACTGAAATCAAATGGAGTTTACCCAGAGTGTGGTAAAGTTACTTTTTTTGAACAAAAGATTCCACAACCTCCAGCCAATTTATATCTACTCGCTATTATGGCTAGACAATTTGGAAGACTTATTTTCTGAAAGAGTAACTTTTACAAGCTCCAGCATTAACAATAACAACACATCTTCAAGACCACCATATTTTATTTGGTAAAAGCTTTTGTGCACTGCAGTCTACTTCACAAAATGGGTGACAAAATTCCATCAATTTCAGTGGCTCTATTCTAAGTATAACTGAACATGGATTGAACCCTTTATGGAGAGTATTCTATTTGGAACATAAGCACAATTCAACCTGTTGTGTGGCTGATCTCTTGAGCCATGTTGGACCAGGCAAGCAAAGAGGTTCACATAACGCAGTGGGCCTCTATCTTTATTTCTTCATTTCTATATTTTGTTGTCTTTAGAGTAGAGATCTAGGAACCTGTCTTTGAGGAATGGAAAAACAAGCCTACAAGGAATTCCTAAGAAACTACACAGTGAAAATATTTCAAACTATTGTGGCCTTTAAAAAAAGAAGAAAATCAATGCACCTGCTTCCTTGCCTTAAGACTCAGACAAATTCAACTCAAGAGCCTTAAGTATTCTGACATTTGCAAATATAAAATGAATGGCTCCAGGGCTCTATATTTAACGGTAGTGTAAGTGTTAGCTCGCTCCCTGCACCCCCAGGGGCAGCATTAAATAACTGAGCTAAGCAGAAAGGGAAAGAGAGAGAGAGAGAAAGAAAGAACTTACTTGTGCTGTTCACTGGTCTGTCCGGCAATGTTACTTGTTACTGCTGCGGCAGGCAGCCAAGCCACGGATCAGCCTCCTTTGAAAGGCGAAGATCAGCCAACTAGCTTGCAAAACTTGTGGGCTCTTTCATTCCCTTTGCTTCCAAATACCTTCCTTGAAATCACTGACGCATCAAGGTAATAAAAGAGGTGCACAGTTTTCAAAATCGGCGGCTTTCGGTCACCGGTGCCAGGGTCAAGCTGTCATAAACAAATTACAGGTCTTGGTTGTTTATTATTGTGGTCAGAAAGAAGAAAGCACACCTAGCATTGTTTCATTCCTGAGGTTTCGACGATGAGGTAGAGGCTGTTGATGGAGCAGGTAAACTTGTTCTCGCTGAAAAAAACATTATGAAACCTAGAGCAACAGGGTTTATTTAACATAGCTGATGGGCGCTTACACATGCGTAAGTACAGACAAAGACAAGTGACAGAATACAGCCATCACATATTTGCAAATGATTCAGGATTAACCCTTGCGCTTTATATAAACAATGTAACCTCCTTACATGACAAATTAGGCACATGGCTTTAGGAGGGAAAACATATACGCCGTCTTACTGGTAGAGTGAGGTCGGCATGATTCATTGAAGGATGAGAGTTGGCCTCCTTTAAGGCAGTGTTCTCCAGCCTTGGGCCTCCAGATGTTGTTGGACATCAACTCCCAGAAATCCTGGCCAGCAAAAGTGGTGGTGAAGGCTTCTGGGAGGTGTAGTCCAGGAACATCTGGAGGCCCAAGGTTGGGACCACTGCTTTAAGGGAACCAGACAGAAAGACAAGGCACTATCTTCTCTCTTGCTAGCTTTCCTTTCCTCACAAAAGGTGACTTCAGCCTCATCACTCTCTATGCTGGTTAGGGCAGATGGGAGCTACAGTTCTCCAACATCTGGAAAGCCACAGTTTGCCCACTCTGGGATGGGCATAATCCAGGGGTTCCCAACCTTGGGTCACCAGATGTTCTTAGATGAAAACTTCCAGAAGCCTTCACCACCAGCTGTGCTGGCCAGGATTTCTGGGAGCTATCGTCCAAGAATATCTTGGGACCAAAAGTTGGGAACCACATGAGAGACAGAGAATGAGAGAGAGAATGTTCAGTGCTCAAATAAACAGTTCATTTCTTCTGGACCACAGAAACATGAATGAAGATCAGATGGAAGAAGTAGAAAAACCCCGTCCAAAAGAATGGTGAGATATTCATAGAGTAAAAGGTAAAGGTAAAGGTTCTCCTTGACAATTTTTGTCCAGTCATGTTCGACTCTAGGGGGTGGTGCTCATCCCCGTTTCCAAGCCGTAGAGCCAGCGTTTGTCCAAAGACAATCTTCTGTGGTCACATGGCCAGTGCGACTTAGACACGGAACGCCGTTACCTTCCCACCAAGGTGATTCCTATTTATCTACTCGCATTTCCATGCTTTCAAACCGCTAGGTTGGCAGGATCTGAGACAAGCAATGGGCACTCACTCCGTCATGTGGATTCGATCTTATAGCTGAAGATCTACAGATCTTACAGCACAGAGGCTTCTGCGGTTTAACCCACAGCGCCACCACGTCCCATTCATAGAGTAAACCTATTTGTAAGCCTCAGAAGAGCTAATCTTAAAAACCACCTTCTTCAACCAAGTGCCCCTCAGTCTTGTGAATTACAAGATCCATTATTCCAGGCAGCTGGGAAGGAGTGATAGATGTTCTCATTCAATACATGTGGATGGTACCCAGGACCAGACCATACATGGCAATCACCTCTGTTGCCTTAAGGTGGAGCAAAAAGGAAGTCATACGAACTCTCCCTGCCTGTTCCATTTGCTTCTCTGGCAGGCTCCTTGTTGAATGCCTGATCTTACTCTGGTTCCAAGACTGTTCGTGCAACTGATCATGCAACAGGGAGCCTTCCAGGACAGGTGGGATGGGATGGGGAAATATTTACTGCAATTTCCCTTTTGTTTCACATTTAGGTGATAGGGTTGTAGCCCCTATTAGAGTGATATCCCCAAAGACTTGATCGTGCATGATGGCTGGGCTATCCTGTGGTTCACCAGATATGCTTTGATTTACTCTGTGATTGGTCTCCACGTCCACATGGTCAAATGCTGCAGGAGTTGTTGTGCTTATAAAATGGGTGAATTTGAAATATTTTGTACTGATCACATGACCCAAAAACCAAATTGGTCCAAACCATATTTCTCCCAAGGTGGCTTTTTTCCTCTGCTGCTGGAGGACTTCTGCTTTTTTATAGCTGGGATGAATCAAATGTTTTTCTTTCCCCTATATGATTAGCTCATACATTCTTGTAAAGAGGTGTGTGTCTGCAGCTCCTGTGTTTCAGTGACTTAGGCAGTTGGGAGCATGGGGATACCATGATTAGGGGTCGATATCAGACTACTACATTTCTGAAAACTTTTCTATAGAAAGACCAAGCAAACACATGCATGCATGTGCGCGCGCACACAACACAACACACACACGCACACATGCACAAAGTGGTGCTTCAACAAAGCCCCTTTCCCCTTGCCTTGCACACACGCACAAACACACATATATACAAGCAGTGCCAGCACTCACATCTGTCTACAAAGCCTCTCCTCCTCAAAGCCACTTAATCATTTTTAAATAGCTCTTCCCCACAGTCCTGTATATTTATGTACTTATTATTAACAGCGTCATCTGACAAGATAAGATAAGGAAATGAGTGATTAGGAGGAAGGAAAGCCTTCTTAAAGTAGTTCCTTTTAACTGCGCTACCGACAGGTACTTCCAATGGAACTTCAAGCAGAAGGCCTTTTTTCTCCTCAGCTTCTGTGGCCAATTATAGCGGAGAGAACCGATTGCTTGGTGCGACTTCATGGTGAAAGAAGGCAAGTTAATTTGCATTTTCGCTGTGAAGTTGCACCCTAAGTCTGATCACTCAGACATGAAAGGCTGCCTCATTCATTTCTCTAGAACACTAGATTCCAGAGTGGACTTCTGCCAGGAGGGTGGAGGCTCGTTGAAGGATGTTCTGGTCCATCTAAATTGGTGATTGAGGACAAACAATAACGACAACAAAGCAAAACAAACACTGGGTCCTGATTGACTATTGATACAGTTTTCTTTTTTTAAAAAATCTACTAATTTATAAAATGGTGTAAAGTGTACTCCTGAGCTTGAAGGGTGGACTTCAATATTCTCTTCCAAAATGTAAGAGGTTTTCAGTTCCGAGGAAATAGCAACCATTTTGTATTTGCCACCCTCAGCCCAAGAATTTGTTACTTTACCAACTTGTTCAAACCACGGACAGAACACAGAGCTTACTGGTTAACTCAGAAAACCAGAATGTGTTGACATTTAAAAAGATACGTAAGCAATTAGCGGGTGGCAGTTCTATATTGGTTGTTTAATGGTTAACAATAAATAGTCTGCTTATTGATGATGTAGTGAAGCCAGAGGTCAAAGCCTTTGGACTATCCAAGTAACAGGAGCTTGGACCTCGTCTGTCTGCCCTCCCGCCCTGGCTTCCTGGTTCCCTTTAAGTTTAGCTGTACAGTAATCCTTAACAGCTGGGATGGAACTCGAAGATCTCAGGAAACACACAGTATTGCAAGCCAATCTGCTTACAATGCAAAATAATTGAAGGGGGTTTGCTCTAGAGTGGACACTGAAGAGCCATCAACTTTACAAGAACGAACAAACAAACCACCTGGCTTCTCATGCATTGATATGGACTGGTCGATTTCCTTAGATTTTGGGCTCTCCCAGGAAAGGTTGGCTACGGGCTCTGTCAGTGAATCTTATCTTCTCCTAGTACATCCAAAATGCAGTCGCTTCCGTTTAGCTACTTAAAAGGAGAACATGTATCTTGCGCTCTAAGGAAACAAGAAGACACGAGACCCAGGAAGCTGGACACAAGAGGGCACTGATGTGCATACAATTTTATATGCTAATTTTAAAGAGACCCACTTTTGTACATATATTGTCCTTTGCTGGCTCTCTACTTTCAAAAGTAATGATTTTACTGTTTTGTTAGTGAGATCAATTCTCTGTTTTGTAATACGCACATATATTGTCCTTTGCTGGCTCTCCACTTTCAAAAGTAACAATTTTTACTGTTTTATTAGTGAGATTAACTCTGTTTTGTAATACCTCCCCCCCCCCCGGTGGAGCTGAGCTGAAGGCCTCTCTTCTCCGACACATGTGTGTGTGAATATAAGCCCATTCACAATGGCTGGTTGATTTCTGCAGGCTTGTTTCATCTGTCAGTGAGAAATTCTGTGCATCCAATGAGAGAGAGAGAGAATTATTCTTGGTGAATGCTGTCCTCTTTTTTTGCTTGCAAAATCTGGTCACAAGTGGTCATAGCTAAGAATCCAACCATATTTAGAGATCAGGGTAGAATGTTTATTACTTAGCTTTCCTTTAAGATTGTATGGATGGGTATAATCTGCACAGGACAGGGCCTACACAGTAGTGGCTTCTCCCTGACAGAAAATCCTTCCTGGATTTCAGTTGAACCCTCAATTGTCCTTTATTTTGAAAGGTTTTGGAAATTCACATGTTCCCCATGATGTTCAACTGAAATACTCAGGATGAAAGATACTTTTATTGGATTCTACTGTCTTGATGAAAATATCATTACTGTACATCCAGAGATTCATCAAAAAGAAGAAATTCATTTCAATGCAAACATACACAGATTTGTGACTTTTTCAGTGACATGAAGCATTCAACTGTGTGCGAAACAAAACACATACAGTTCAAAATGTGAATGGTTCAAGTTTAAAAATGCATATAAGCATGCTTTGGTCAATGTGACAAATGCACAAATTAGGTAAAATAATACTTAAATAAAACAAATTATAAAATAACAATAATAATAATTGTGTGCTGTCACATTATAAAATAATAATCATAATTGTGCGCTGTCAAGTCAATCCTGACTTTTGGTGACCCTCTTCAATAATATTTAGGCAAAATAAATTATATTTAACACACATTTTAAGTAATGTATATATAAATGTTTGCCTTAAGAGAAAATGCACAAAAATTTATAAATTTCATAGGAGAAGGAAGAGCAAAATCTTGCTACTTAGTAGCAATGGAAGAAAATGCAGGTGGGAACTCAAGACAGAATGGTTTTCACATCCTCAATTCAGGATGCTTTTAAAATGTTTTATTACTGTGTTTGTGTAAAATGCTTATATTGACTGAACTATATTTTAATATAAAATCAGGACAAGGCCACATGGTGTTCAAAACAATACAAATGCAGGAATAGGTAATACCTTTATTAGACCATTAAGAAAATAAAATGCACAAAAAACGCAAGCTTTCCAACTTGTTTATGAAGTGAGTGATAAATT